GGGGTGGGTGGAGGTAAGGGGGCGGTGGGAGAAGTTAGGCTTTTTTGTACTGTCTGTCTGGTTTTGGTATTAGTATAATGCTGGTTTCAAAAATGAGTTGAGAACTGTTCCTCCTCTTCCCGTTTTCTGGGGTAGATCGGTCGAATTGGTATTAATTTGTAAATATTGGCAGCCCGGCCGGGCATGGCTCAGCGGTTGAGCATCGACCTAGGATCCAGGCGATCGGGGTTCGATTCCCGGTCAGGGCACATGCCCGGGTTTGCAGGCTCGATCCCCGGTCAGGGGCGAGCAGGAGGCGGCCGATCAGTGACTCTCTCATCATTGATGTTTCTCTCTCTCTCTCCCTCTCCTTTCCTCTCTCTGAAATCAATATAAAGATATATTTTAAAAAAAAAGATTTAAATAAATATTGGTAGAACTCACCAGTGAAAAGTAGGTTTTTAACCATGAATTCATTTATCTTAATTGATGAGGCCCGGTCAGGTTATCAGTTTGTTCTTGAGTGAGTTTTGGGGGTTAGTGCCTTTCAGGCTGTTGCTCCATTTCACCTAAATTGTGGCGTCAACGGGTTGTAGTGCCCTCTTGTCCTCCTAACGCCGGCAGGGCCTGCAGTGATTTCCTTTCTTCCATTCCTGATAGTGGTCATTTGTGTCTTTTTCCTGATGAGCCTGGAGAGAGAGAGATTGATCAGTTTTATCGGTCGGTCTAAGATCCAGTGTTTGGTTTCATTGGTTTCTCTGTTCGCACTTTTTTCCTTCATTTTTACTATTTCCTTTTGCTTGGCTCGGGCTTAATTTGCTCTCCTTTTTCCAGCTGCTTCAAGTAGAAGCTTAGAGGATTGACTTGAGACCTTTTCTTATAGAGTATTTAATGCTATATGTTTCCATCTAAATAAACATTGCCTTAACTGGACCCCTCAAATTCAATACGTTGTGATTTCCTTTTATTCAAAATTTTACTTTCCTTCAGACTTCCTCTTTGACCATGGGTTCTTCAGAAGTGTGTTGTCTAATTTCCAAATATATGGGGATTTTTCTACATACTTTTCAGTTATTGATTTCTAGTTTAATTCTATGAGGGTCAGCGATCAACACTTTAACATTTGTTAAGATTTGTCATATGGCCCAGAATCGGTGAAGGCTCCATGTGCACTTGAGAAGAAAGTGTCTATTCTCCTGCTGTGTGTGGATGTCAGTTAGGAAAAACCAACCCAATAAAACCACCCAAGCAGGCAAAAACCTGATAGGTTGACTTGGTTGACAGGTGTCAGCTCTTCTCTGTTCTTGCTGACTTACCTGTTTTATTAATTACCAAAAGAAAATTCCTGAATTCTCCAACTATAGTGGTGGGTTTTTCCATTTTCCCTTTAGCTCTGTTGGCCTTTGCTTCATGTATTTTGAAGCTTGGTTTTTATTTTTTAATTTTTAAAAAATACATATTTTGGTTGATTTCAGAGAGAGGAAGGGAGAGGGAGAAACATCAATGATGAGAGAGTCATTGATCGGCTGCCTCCTGCATGCCCCCTGCTGGGGATTGAGCCCGAAACCTGGGCACATGCCCTGACCAGGAATCGAACCGTGATCTCCTGGATCCTAGGTCAACACTCAACCACTGAGCCACACCGGCTGGGCGAAGCTTGGGTTTGAGATGCACACACGTTTAGGACTGTGATGTCTTCTTGGTCAGGAGACCGTTTTATCATTATGCAGTGTCCCTCTTTTTTCTGATAATGCTGTTTTTGAAGTCCTCTTAGTCTGAAACTAATATAGCTACTATGGTCTTCCTTTGATTAGTGTCTGGTTGATTTTTTTTTCTCTGCATCGTTTTACTTTTACCCTACTTCTGTCTTTGTATTTAAAGTTGGGTTTGTGTAGACAGCATGTAAATCAGGTCTTGTTTCTTATACAACCTGTTCATCTCTTTTCTTTTAGTTGGTGTGTTTAGATTGTTTATGTTTAGTGTAATTATTAATACACTTGGGTTTTGGTTTACCAGTTCATGTCCTGTCTGTCCCCTCTGTTCTTACTTCCTCTGTCCTTTTCCCTGTCTTCTTTTGGGTGACTTAAATACAGAGGTCAGTGTTTGACCCGTTGAGTGGGAGATGCCTGTGGGGCATTGAGGGTAGTTGTTTCCTGGATGAGGCCTGGAAACCACCCAGCTGGGAGCAGCCTCTGCTGTGACCTGGGAGCAGGGTCTTCCATGTCCCTGGAGACATACCTGCAGCCCTCAGGCAGCCAGCCTGGCTTCTCTGCCTGGGGCACCACTTTGGGCATTTCCCTTGGTAAGAGGACATGGTCCTGGAGACGACGGAGCCAGACAGAAGGGGGGAGGCACTCCATAGGGGACGGGGGGGGGCGACAAGGGACAAGGCTCCATGCCATGACACTCTTTGCCTTCTGCCTCAGACAGCCGAAGAAGGGTGGCAAGCAGGCTTCGGCCTCCTACGACTCGGAGGAGGAGGAGGAGGGCCTGCCCATGAGCTACGATGAGAAGCGCCAGCTGAGCCTGGACATCAACCGGCTGCCCGGGGAGAAGCTGGGCCGGGTGGTACACATCATCCAGTCCCGGGAGCCCTCTCTCAGGGACTCCAACCCCGACGAGATAGAGATCGACTTTGAGACTCTGAAACCCACCACTCTGCGGGAGCTCGAGAGATACGTCAAGTCTTGTTTACAGAAGAAGCAAAGGAAACCGTTCTGTAAGTCGCTGGGTGGAGCTTGGCCCTCGCAGCCCCCTTGCCTCCTGCTCCTCTGCAGCCCTGGGTGGAAAGCCAGGCAGCCCCTTGCCCCACATCCCACCTGTCTGTGCTCAGCTGGGGACAGAGGACTTAGCTGAGACTGAGGTCATTGCTGAGACTGAGGGATTGCTGTGGCCACAGCGAGGGAGAACTGTGAGGCAGGATCAGGGCTTCATGTCGCAGCTCTGCCTTTCACACGGGGGTGTCACTGAGCCACACACGTCCTGTCCACTTTTGTTTGGAGCGGGAATGGTGGAGGAGGAGGTTTGGAGGAGGAGGAGGGCCTGCCCATGAGCTTGGGAGACGGTAGGCTGACCTCCAGCCCCCACCTCAGAGATTTTGTAATAGTTAAAGAAAAGGCTGCATGTGAGGAGCGCTTGGGACATGCAGGCAGGGTTTCCTAGTGTCAGCCAGCCCTGTGGTGAGGTGGGGGTTGCAGACGCCCAGGTGCCAAGGGGTGCGCTTGGTGGCTGGCTGCCTGTCTCTCCTCTGCCCCGCCGCCTCAGCATCGTCCTCTCCCATAGCGACAAGCGGGAAGAAGCAGGCAGCCAAGTCGAAGGAGGAGTTAGCTCAGGAAAAGAAGAAGGAGCTGGAGAAGCGGCTGCAGGACGTCAGCGGGCAGCTGAGCAACAGGAAGCCCGCCAAGAAAGGTACCCATGGGCCGTGCTGCCCCAGGGCATGGTGTCCCCTGCAGCTGCTTGCTGCTCTGTCCAGAGGGGGATGGCCCGGGCAGTCTTGGTCTTCCACCATGTCAGGAGGCCCCAATTTTGTTATCTGTAAATGGGACAGAACCCCGGCCTTGCAGGGAGGTTGAGCATATGGGAGGTGTGGACCACTTTCTAGAACGCCCGCAGGGGGCTCTTGGAAGGGCCCAGCTACAGTGTTTGGGGACTGGGCCCCATAGCTTAGGAGACGGTAGGCTGACCTCCAGCCCCCACAACGAGCTTTCTGGCTGCCCCCAGGCTGTAACACCTGTTCTCACATGTTAACCGACAGCGCAGGTGGAGGGAGGCTGACTCCCAGCCCAGGCCCTGTGCTTTGTGGACTGCAGGGTCTTATTTTAGGGGAGCAGGTGGTTTGACGCCTTGTCTCCTTTCTCTGGAGCCTGTAAGGAGGGGCAAAGACCTTTTTCCCAGCCCAGGGACAGTGGGGCCAGGTGGTGGTGGACATCGTTGGGTCTCATTTCAATGATCATGTAGCAGCCGGTGCGGCATCCTTGCCAGGCCCTGCTGCCCAGTGCCGAAATGCTAGTAGCCCTGCCTACTCCACCAAAGGCTGGGAGCTCCCCTGGGTCACCCCTGGGAAGGGCAGAATGGTGGCTCATTGCTGCTGCCTGGCGCCACCTGACTGATGGGTGGGTGGGTACCTTTCTATATCAGTAGGTGGGGATGCTTAGCCCCCACCCACATCCATCATTCCCTCTTAGTAGATTGTGTTCATTTTTTTTTCTGTCTCTGGTGTGTTAGATTGTTTGTTGACCTCTGAGATATATATATATTCTCTTTAAGTATTTTTTATTACTTATGTGTTTTTCTAGATGATTTCAAAATGACAATATTACAGATGTCCCCCATTTGAACTATATTTACTCATCACACTTCTGACACCAAATGTGTGGGGGTTTTCTCACACTGGTTGTCCAATCTCCGACACCAGCTGGGTGTCCAGAAATTCAGTTCAGTCCTAACACCATCTACTCAGAGTTAGTGCAGACTCCACAGAAAAAGGACTCAGCCCCACAAGACCGCCCCACCTCAGACTCCAGGTGCAAATCCTAGGCCTCCTGCACCTCTGACCCTCTTACTGGCTATAACTCTCGGTTCCCATGATCCCCTCCTCAGTTCAGTCATTTGCTACAACAGCTCACAGAACTCCGGAAAATGTCATACTTCCTGTTAGGGTTTATTATTATGAAGGGTATAACTCAGGAGTGCAGCCAGGGGTAAGAGATGCACAGGGCCAGGGGTGGTGGCGAGGAGCTGCCTTGCCCTCTCGGGATGGCCACCCTCCCAGCTCCTCCATGTGCCCCACTTCAGCCCCCCTTTCCCGGAGATGGGGTGGGAGCTCAAAGTTCCCATCTCCTAATGGCTTAGTCTTCCTGGTGACCAGCCCCATCCTGTGGCTATCTGCCCGCCCCCCCAGTCAGAGTCACTCATGAGCATAAACTCAGGAGGTGTGATCCAAAGGAGCTCCTTTCAAATAACAACATTCTTATCCTCTGGGAATTCCAAGGGTCTTAGGACTATGCCAGGAACCAGGACAGACACCCGATACATGTCTTACAGTACCACAACCTCATTAACGCATTGATCCATTTCAACAAATACGTGTTCATATCTATCAAGTGACGGGGTCAATAAGTGGGTGGGTGATGGCATGAGGTGAGGTGTGTAGTGGTGGATGTTCTGCAGAAGCCGTGTTGATGGATGAAGGAGTGGTGGAGCGCGTGGGTGTGAGCGGGGTGAGCCAGGTGAGCAGAGCGTTCCTCTCACCTGCTGCATCTCCCCCAGAGAAATCGGGCACGGCGCCCCCTGGAGGGCCTTCCCGGCTCAGCAGCAGCAGCTCCTCTGAGTCTGGGAGCAGCAGCTCCAGCGGATCCAGCTCAGACAGCAGTGACTCGGAGTAAGGAATCAAGTTGGGCTTGGCCAGCACTCAGCCCCTCCGGTGGCCGCCGCACACGCCGACCTCTGCAGTGTCCCCTCCTACAGTTAATATACTACTTCTGTTCATGGTGTGCAGGTTTCTTTTTAATCCAGTGTTACGGTATCTTCCCGTTTTTGCTTTAATAGGTCAAAGGTCTTTTTTTGTGTATACACTAGACTTTATGAGAAGGTGTGAATCTGCATAAAGTCTTTTCTTTGCCACTGAATTTGGTCGCTTGGAGATGACAACTTCAGATGCTAACCTGGTAACTAGACAAACACGGAAGATGTCATCTGAATGTTCCTGCAAAACCCCTTTTCTTATGCCCAACCTGGTCCAGAAAGAATTTTTTCAAAGGCAGTTTCTCTAAGGTGGTTCTGTATTTGGAAGCTGTTAGCTTCATCTCTTGAGCCCTGAGCTCTGACCCTCGTGTCTGAGGGCCACCTCCTCCTGCAGGGGCTGAGGACAGAGGTGCTGAGCTAGACAAGGGGATCGCCATGGCTCCCATCAGAGCTTTGTGGGTGGGGGCAAGCGAGGGTGGGCGTGTGTGGAAGGGGGGAGTGGAGTTTTTCTGATCTTTGTGATGTCAGGAGCTCCCGGGAGGGGATACAGTGGTTGCGTGTGCAGGTTTCCATACACTGAAACTTTTACCTCAACTTAAAAAAAAGAAAAGATTAAAAAAAAAAAAAAGGAGACTTTTTTTGTAAGGATCAGCAATTTTCTATGAAAGTCCAGCCCAATGTGTGTCCCCACCTTGTTGTTAGCGCTCCCGCGGCCGCACACTCCAGAACCATTTTCCCAATTTCATGTATATATGAATACTTTATTTATTAACACCATTGGTCATTTTTTTTAAAAAAAGAAGAAAAACAGAACAAAATAAATGCATTAAAACAGTAGCAGAGATGCAGGCCCCCGTCGTGGTTTGCAGGAGAGCCCAGGTGCTCCAGGTGCTACCCCGTCCCTGCCGGTGCTCAATCCCGTCTGCGCACCACCCCGGGCCGTCGGGGGGTCGCTCTTTCTGTGTGTGCGTGAGGCTCGGAGACTTGCAGCTATAGACAGCTTCCCGCTGCAGCACGCTCTGTTTATTTGGGTGGTTTAGTTGTTTTGTACTCTCTTCTGGTCTCTTTAGGACTGTTTTAAAAGAAACCAATTTAGGGAACCCCAGTTATATAATATAAACTTTGTAATCTGAGAGGAAGAAATGTATAGTAAATCTAAGTCTTGATTTTTAACTTTCTATTGTAAAGAAAATAATAATATACAGAGTTTAACAGAAGGTTATGTTCTGGTTTTGTTTTTTCCAGAGGCTCCCATACGGCCTTTTGAGTGCAGGGATGCCCTCCACTGCCTGCCTAGGTTCTGAGCATTGTGGCTCCGGCCAAGAATGCACGGTCAGTTGGCCTTCCTGGCCCTGACCTCCAGATGGGAGCCCCTCACCTCCCGGCCTCCAAGGGAGGCGCTGTGGCCCCCACTGCCCTATGCCGTCTTCCAGCCACCAGCAGTGGCCTGGCCGCTCTCCAGGGGTGGAAGAACCTCTGGCCCCAGGAGGGTCCCTCCCTGACAGCTACACAGGGCTCCCTGCTCAAGCATTTTCCATGTAGCAGAAATGGCTGAAACGGCATTCTCCCAGACATCCCTGTGAGCAGTTCACTGAGGTGGGTGCTGGAGGTGGAGCCGTGGGTGCTGATCTGCCTGGATAGGGGGACTAGTCAGCAGTATCGTTAATAGGTGGCGATTTTTAAAAAATCATAACATTGATTCAGATTGCATCAGCCTTATGGCTGTGGGTACCCTGATGGATCTAGAGCTCTGATGAGCGAGTGGATGGTGGAGTACCATTTTTCTTACTGCTGGTGATCCTGACACTTGGTGAGTTTTGAGCCAGCTTGTTAAACTTTTAAGTTTTGTTTATAATAAAAATATAAGTGGATTTTAAACTTGATGTTTTTTAAAGTTACCCTTGTTTTTCAAAGGTGTTTTCTAAACAGGTCTTTAGTGGCATATTTAAACTATGACTCTAAGGAATCAGTACCCGACAGCTCGACAGGTCTTACAGCAGGATCTCATCGGCATATGCAACCTGTGCGCACCCGGTAACCAGCAGACGCCGGTGTGGCGCTTGGGGGGCCTCCCGTGGAGCGCCTGTCCAGCGTGGGGAGCGAAGGGTCACCGTGTGAGCCGATAGGGAGAGAAGCACCTGGCCCTAGAGTTGAGCACAGTGGGAGTGTTCGGAGCTCTTACTTGTCCCCTGGTTCCATGAGAGAGGGTGGGTTCTCGGACCTCTCTTCCCCTCGCCCAGACGGAAACCAGTGGCGTAGCTCCCTACTGAGCAGTTGTGGTTCATTGGTGCTGCAGTTTCTAAGGCTTTCTGTCCAGACTTCACAACTGATTTCTCTTCGGTCTGGGGGCACCTCCTCCACCCTCGAGCTCGTGGGTGTCGGTCATTTCCGTTTCTCTGTACTGGGAAGACTGCAGCTGGACAAGCAGAGTGGCTCCAGTGCCGAGAACTGCAGGGCAGCGTTCCTGAGCTTTTCTCAAGGGGACAGAGTGGTGCGTTAAGTAGGTTGGCCACGTGTAGGGAATGGCTTTGGAAACACACCTGGTGACCGTGACCGTGACCTCGACCGCATGGGCCACAGGGGCAGGCTGTGGTGTGCTCGTCCTGGGTGGCAGGACGTCATCTTGCTTACACACTGTAAGATACGTTTTCTTTTTGTTTTGGTTTGTTCTTTTGCGTCTTTTACAGTCATTTGGGGAAAAGCAGCCCCCGCGATATGGATTCGTCGCGTCCAGAGTAGGGCTGCCCCTTAATACGCGTAACACTTCCAGGAAGTTTTCCTTTTTATATTTAAAATGTTACTTTTCTGTATGACGTGCATGCAAGTTTACCGTAACTTTTCTTAAACTTTTTAGTGCCGTTTCTAGTATATTCCTGTAAATGTCAGTTACTGAAAATGAGTCCAATGTAAGTAGTTTTAGCTTGTTTATTGCAATGCTGGCCTCAACACAACAGAATAAAAATGGTAGAAAGTACTCTTTGATGTTTCTGGTAATCATGGACCCTTCTCCTGGGGCATTTGTTTTGTTTTCATAATAAAAGCAAAAAAAAAAGAAAAAGGTGCCCTTTTGTGCCTTCTCCTGTGCTTCGGGCGGCTCCTGCTCTCTCCGTCTGTGGGATGCTCCCTTCCCTGCCCTCAGGGCCTTCCAATTTAGTTTCATAAGGCTGCCCCTGGCTCTGCCCCTTGGCTTGGTAGGGAGGCGCCAGAATTCAGGGGCATCGTTGGCTTCCTGAGAAAGTTAAAACTGTCTTTCCAGTTACTTGGGACTCTGGATGCCTGCCCTCCTAGAAGAGCGGGTTTCCTGTCTTCCAGCAGTCCCCCCCCCCCC